CGTTGACTCTGAGATGGTTGGTGGAGCGAACAATCTGGTCAGCCCCATGGTTGATGATCCAGGTGCACTCAAGCCTTGCCTATATAGAAGAGCCTTGAGGTGGGCCTCTCGATTTCTCTGTGCCTGAGGTGTAAATTCTTGGCAGTGCCGGCATGTCTGAACAATGTGGGACTCGCCCAGACAAAGAAGGCATTTCGAATGTCCATCGTTATCAGGGATCCTTCCTCCACACTCCAAGCATTTCTTGAAAAATGAATTGGAGGCCATGATGCTGAAGAAAAGCTGTAGACAAGGAACAAACGAAGGCTGGGGAGCCAGAGAGAACACCCCAAACACAGTCCAAGGTCAAGGTATCAGAAAATCAGGAGAATGGTCAAAGACAGTCCAAGGTCAAGGTATTCGAAAATCAGACAGAATATGAAGACTAACCAGTGAAGATCAAGGATGAAAGGTGAAGAACACTAACAAAGTTCCTACAGGTGCTGCTACTGCAATGGATGAAATGGAAGTGGGGATTCGGCGGGACTCGCCTATTTATAATAGCTGGGAGAGTGGGAGGGGGACCAAATAACTTTCAATAAAGATCTAGGAAGATCCTATGCACTGCGCAGGTGCAGAATAATCCATTTGTGTGATTCACAAAGACCACAAAGAAGAACCAAAACATTCCGGACAGAAGAGGCTACATTATATATACCAGAGGGTATTATTTTCTCTAAGAATAAGAGTGCTTGCCCATGCACATAAAAAGCAGTAGCCACTTAGTTAGCCTTTGTCTTGAAATTATGACCCAGGCTGAACCGATGAGAAGAATGCATGTGGGAAGAAGCAAATGGATAGCTGCTGGTAACTCATGTTGCTGAAGAGGCCTATGACGCAATTCAGATCCACTCTGCAAATGCAGAGGGAGTTCTCAAGTACCTGGCATTCTGTAAAAGAAATACTGAACAATTGCCCCTGAAATGCCTGACATTGAAAAGTTCAGGTCAAGAGTAGGAAGAGACGTAGATTGGTTTGAGTTTGGAATGGAAGCGAGCATTGAAGATAATAGCGCTGAGTGCATCTGCTGGCAAATGGAAGCCTGGTACCCTAACAAACACTCATTCAAAGTCTTTTTGTTTTGAAAACTTGGATATCTGTAAAGCGAATGGAAAAACTTGAGACAAACACTCCTCATTATGGTTCCCAATGTTCCAACAAAAATGTCAATTATTTTAGGTACTGCCTGTTCTTTACTAAGGCAAGAGAGTTAGAGAGCTATTAACTGCTACCTAATGAATTACACTCAAACATTCAATTATTAGACAGGAATATGGGAAAAGTTTAGAGAAGACCATCAAGATCTGTTGGCAGGGATTGAATTTGGAAAGTTGAGATGGGACTTAATTGCTGGTTGCACATTGGATGACTATATTTTGCAACTCAGCAGAACAGTTTATAATGGTGCTATGCTGTTAGCTGCAATGTCACAGGTCAGATCTATGACAGTGTACCAGTTTCCTTTTCATGGTACATCGCCACAATCGTTGGAAGTGCACCTGAAAACCACCTAAAATGCCAGGCAGCCATCCTAGCTAGTAAAGTTCTGTAGCACTGTCAAGCAGGGCACAAAGGCTCATATAGCCAAGTCCTCTCCCACCAGCTTTGATACTGCAGTTACAACTCTGACGCAGGTTCTCAGCAAATGTTTTTAGAGAGATGTTTTCTTTGGTTTTGTTTTGGAAAGGGTAGCACATGACACACTCATGACATGGATCAAGCTGCAGGCACTGCATCAATACATTTGAAAGAGGGTGGGAATCACTAGCATAGGCATAACAGAATGTAGCCTTAAATCCAGTTGTTAGTCCCAGAGCAGAACCACCATATCAATGGGAAATTGGTACAGCAACATTTATCCAAGATCCACTTGGCTCTGTGGGCCTCCTTCAGCTGAGACACACAGCTGTATTTAGGCCATCGTTTATAAAGCTGTATCTGAATTGTTGCAGATATTTCATTTTTCCTATTGCACCACTGCTGGTAGATGGCTATCCTAACCTAGATCATACACACTTATATTTCACCCAGTTGCTTTACAAAGATATGTGAAACCTAGGTTGGTCTCCTTTGGAAACAATGGAGACCAACCTATAGAAGGCATTAGGGGAGTCATATGGACACAGGAGATCTTGGAATTGGCACCCAAAGGCTGGAGCTATACCATTTCACAACCACGTCATTCTATTTCTTTTTTTTAAAATGTAATTTTTAAATACTCTTTTTATACTCAGACTAACCTACAGCTAGCACTCATCCTCAACACACCTGCTATCAGCATCATTAATAGACTGAAATACAAATACAGGTTTTCCTACTTTTGTGTTTGATTTTTAGGTAACTTTGAGTGTAAGAGAACTGTTGGTTCATTTTTATGAGATAAAGTACAAATTTAGGATTTTTGTGACAAAATTTATTTTATTTATTGAGTTCAGAGAAACAGAGTATCTTGAAGTCTGGTTTTATAGCAGCTGCAACAAAGACATTTACAGATGTGACTTACTACCCTGAAACTATGAGGCAAGGAGCTAACAAAAGGAGTGGCACCTCTCAATATCATGCTGAACAGTGTGCAAAATCTGATGCAAAATGCCAGCACTGTCAAACTGCATGGCAAACAGGGACTACTGTGCTAACAAGTTTCCATATGAATGGAAAACTGCCCACACAGTTCAACATTCACACTTTTAATTTCAAGATGCAAAGCCGGTGAGGAAGTGAGGGGATTCATTAGATGCAAGTTGAAAGGAGGAGGGGGGCACATTCAAGTTAGTAAAATCTCTTCAGAGTGCTCAGAAGGTTGTTTGATAAACATTGTGCAAATGGCACAGACACAAAGAAATGCAAGAGCTGGTTCAAGTGAGTGCCACCGGGGTTGACAGGCAATGTCTTGGATGAGACTAAAGGCAAGGTCCGTTCCGGAAAGCAAAAAACTTGTTCCGATGTGGAAATGAAAAGCACTCATTCTCTGAGAAAGCAAGTATTAATAGTTCTGGTAAGCAAATATAGAACAGTACACACACACAGATATATATATATACATATTAATACACCTAAAGGAAAAATGCAGAATTTTCGGTGTCGGAGTACCTAAGTAACTGAAAACAGGACCTGAGAGGAGTGTCAGAGACAAATGGACTCATTAAAAACCAACAAGTGAGGCAGCCACATCTGGCCCTCACAGTGCTGGTCTGACCCTCTTAGGAAGGGGATCACCCAGCGGGGAAAGGGGTAGAATAGGACAGCAAAGATAATCCAGGGATTGCTTATCACACATGCCACAAACAACACGTGCCAGGATAGAAAAACTAATAAGAAAATGAATTAATGAATTCTGGAGCACATCTACACTGAATCATTATTGCAGCCTGATACCCCCACCATGGTCCATCCTACAAAATCTTAAGAGTTCAAAGTTTACTTAGAATTCACTACAGCTCTCAAGCAGGCAAGTCGAAGTTCCTCCTCAAACTACACATTTCTCGATTCTGTAAACCAACTGGAGCCAGCTGAAGAGGTATCCAAGTGCCACTTTCTTCTTGACCTTCCAAGTAACAACAGCATGGCTGGCAGGAGATGAAGCTACTTTTGCAGAATAGTGCTCTGTGCCTGCACATCTTCCCCAGATGCCCCATAGACAGGGAGTGAAAAACCTGCAAAGGGTACATGCATAATCCTACCCCCAAGCCACTCCCAACGCATGCCACCATCACACAGAATCAATCACAAAGGCAATCTAAGCTCCTCAAAAAGAGAATCTCTGGCCGGGTTTAAAGCATCTGCCTCAGATTAACGAGAGGTGACCTGTTCTTTCTGTGAGGCTGTAATGTTTGCTTCGCACATCTGTTCCACTGTAGCCTTCCATTCGACGCCTTTAGCAATGTAAGACTGATGTGTTGGACTCTAAACATACCACTGTTGCTTGGATTACAGTTTAGGAATGAGAGGGCTGAATGTTGAAATTAAAGATGGCTCAGGAGATGCTAGGTTAGCATGCAATGCAAGTATTTACACAGCAAAGCCCTGGAAACTGTCTGGATAACCTGTAATTACTTGTAAGAAATATAAATACAGCCGGCATTTATAGCTTCATATTTCAGGGGTGAAAGTCCAGGCAGGCACTAAATGAGGCACTTTGCTTCAGGCAAGGCCAGCATTCACACTGCAGCTCCTAAAGGACATGAAATGCATCCTGCTCACTAACAGCTTTGCTACCACTGCCAGATAGGGGAAGTAATCTATGTGTTGCAGCACCTATCTTTGTATCCATTAGAGAGATGGACACCTTGCTCAGACCCTCCCCAGTGCCAGCAATGAAGTCACATAAGGAAGATTTCCAGAAGGCTGGCTACTTCCGCCCATATGTTCTTCCTTGTCTTTTAGTGAGCAAATTGCATGGACATGGAGAGTCCACATGTCTGACTGGGACACTGTGCCCCTTTAGCTACCACACTGTGATGGCAAAGTCACACAATGCCAGAAAGGCTACTTCCTGCATGACTGGTTTTGCTGTTCTTGAAATGTATTCCCTGTAACTGGAAAAACTATAGCCCAAGGAGGACTTATACGGTAGGCCCTGTTTTGGAATCTTATATATATTTATTTATTACAGTTGATGACCAGCACCAAAAGTTTTGGCATCTTAAATTTTCCCACATTACACTTAAGGTTCTGCTGAAAAAAGATGGGTACAAATGAAAGAATTTTAAGCCAAATTCTTGAAAAAAAGAATTCTTAAGACCCAAGTTTTTGCTACGCAGCAAAACTGAACAAAACCTTCATTTTAAACTCTAGCTATTATCTAGAGTGAGGTATTTGCTGAACTCGGACTGCAGAGCCTTGTCAATTAAATAAATCCTCCTGCATTACGGAGAAAGTTCAAGGCGTTTATTCAACATGTTCAGCGGCACAGTATTAGCCAGCTGGGTTGAGAAGGCTTCAGAAATCATTTCCCCACTTACCTCCATGGCAGCAAAATATTTTCTCATCCACAATGGCTGCAATTGGTAAACAATTAAAGCAGTCTGTAAAGGTTTTCCACAGCTTGATGTTGTATCTTCTTTTACCTAAGGGGACATTTCAGGATATGAACTCACTTAAAAACCAAAGACTGATGGAAAAGAAGAGCATTACAGGGACATAAAGGAAAAAAAAAAACTAAAAACCAAGCTAAAAAACTCTGCTGGTTCTGGGTTTGGTTTAAATTCACTCCAGTAAATATACCTTGATATACCTCTTTCTAGGAATATAGTATTGACACTGCATCTGGAGATGGGAATCTGAAAAGTTAAGGAGGCAGTAGCCTCCTCTTAAGACAGACCTGTATCATCAATCAGATTTTTTTTAACATTCTGGTTGCTCATAACAACCTTGAGAAGTGAATTCACCCTGCCATATAAGAGAAAGGGGGAGGTTGGGAAGAAGATGGGGAATGTAGAAGTAGATAAAAGCATCTGGCAGTGTTTTGGGAATAGAAACTGCAGCTTGTGTTTTGGGAATTGAAAGGAGAAACATGGCCATACAGCCCGGAAAACTCACAGCTACCCAAAGTAGAAACTGTGAGTTACCAAAGTAGAAACTGTGAGTAGAAACAGCTACCCAAAGTAAAAACTGTGTCTTCTGGCCAGAAGGGGTTAAGTGGGGATTAGTGTCTTCATATATATACCAGGGAGTGTGAGGGGAAAGTTAGAACTTTCTTTTAGTATGGCAAGAAAGGAAAATAAAGACTTTGTTTCCAATGGTCATCATTGTAAGCTTGTCTTAATACCAAAGAACTTCCAGGTTCTGACACTTTTGAAGCTTCCCAGGGGCCGCTGGCTGGCTGTGATTGGAAACAGCATTTTTGTTCAAGATGAGCATGTGATTGAAACAAGTGAAAAGTAGACTATTTGAGGAGTTCTTCCAAACCAAAATTGATTTTATTTATAAATCCTGAAACAGTTTGGAACTGAGTTATCAGCTGTCAGTTTTGGCATGTGCAACAAAATGAAGCAGAGATAAAATACAACATGCAATGCATGAGGTCAGCTTTGCACTTGCAAACATAAATGGAAGGTTTGCAGTGTTGCAAGTGAGCATTTACTTTTAACATAATTGTTGAGTAGAGGCTGCATGGAGTGGTCAACGGAAGACTATCGTTTGGTCTAAGACAGTGGTCAAAAGGCTGATTTTTGCCTCTGCAACTTTCTAAAAAATCTGCTGAAATTAGCCAATAAGTCTTTTCGGACTGTCATTAACACAAGCTCACTCCAAATGTAGTAAAAGTTAATAATAACCTTTTCCCAGGATCCCAAAATCACCTCAGAAGTACTTACATTCATCATAAAAGCCATAAATTCTATTAATGCTAGCACATTCATGGTTCCCTCTGAGGAGGAAAAAATTTTCAGGGTATTTTATCTTGTAGGCCAGTAAGAGGCAAATGGTTTCCAAGGACTGCTTTCCTCGATCGACATAATCACCAAGAAACAGGTAATTGCTTTCTGGTGGAAATCCCCCATATTCAAAGAGTCGAAGTAAGTCATAGTACTGTCCGTGGATGTCACCTTAAACAAATAAACAAATTTTTTACACAGTCTGACAGTTTTGCTTACTAAAGCAAGGCTAGATAGAATAACATTCAATGAATGCTAATATACCTGATCTAGAGACCAAAAGAAAGACACTCATAGTGTGCTCAAAAAACGTAAGCACATGTTCCATAAGCCTCCCGCAATTAACTATTTCTATGCATTTATTAAAAGAGAACCTACAGGGGTATCAGTGCCACAGATTTCTCCATTGGATGTGGTATGTCAAATTAGTAACACGGGAGGCATCACATGACATTACCAACGTTTTACCATGTCAGTTCCTTAAAAGGGTTCAAAGCAGCTAAACCCAATGCTTACCACATATTTTCAGTGGTGCTTCAAGTTCCAACAAAATGGGCTGACTGAGAAAGATCTCCCGAGACTTCAAGCACAACCCTCTGATTTCGTTTTCTTGAAGTTGGACATTTTTGCCAGGTTTCGATCCTCTCACTATAAAAGGGAAAAGAACAATTGCATGTTGCGAGTGAGTCAACACATTCCAAAATTAAATACATACAGTCCAATATTTATGATTCACCAAGGGAGCCAACTTTGGGGCCTATCAGGTTTTTTTTCCCTTGAACATTTGCAGAGAAAGCTTGCAACAAATAAGCCAACTGCCCATTATTAGAAGAAGGCAACTGGTGAATAACAAGAGCATTACTCTTCAGAATTATAGATTGCTCCTAAAATGCAGTGGCCCAAAGAATACATTCTTTAGAATTTATTCTCTGGGCCACTGCATCTAACACTGGCATAACACATCCAACTCAGAAATAGGAATTATAAACTTGAACTTTGCTATGCCAACCCAGTTGAAGCTGGTCTAACCCAAGGGCTTATTCCAACTCCACCCCCCCCCCAAAAAAAAAAAAACCCAGGCAAATTGGACTCAAAATAGCCACACGGATTAACCAGGGATTTAAGGCATTGTTCTTCCTGATAGGTTGGCAAGATTGAGAACACCGATATTCTCAGACTGGTAGATTTATATATATTAACAGCAGTTATGGGTCTATTCTAAGCTTAGCTTGGATATAACTATTGCAGAGAGAAATTGCAAATGATCACCATGTACAGAATTTCTAGGTGCCAACAAAAGTGTTCTCTAAATGTGTCTGAAGTGCTTTCACTCACATCAAAGGGAAATGAAGAGTGGAAACTTCATATTTTTGAAACCACGAGAGCCCTTAAAGCCTCACGGTTTCCAAATAAAACTAGACTATGTCATTCATAATACCCAAGTAAAGACGCCTGAAGCTCAATCAATCCTGCAGGCAAAATGCTTCTGTTACCTTGTGCCTGTAAGCAAAACAAAGGCCTTGTAGTACCTTCCCAACTAATTCTGTCATGCCATTTTTTGTGGCAACCTCTGTTATGTTATTGAAAGTACTACTTGTGGCCTGGTGGCATGCAGGAAGCCAAACAAGCACTTGAAATTACCTGTGTTGGCAGTTTTGAAGAGTTCAAAGGTCATATTTTTAAGAGGATTTACTCTGAATTAAAAATGTGTTGCAATTACCAGCAGATTAACTGCAGGGGAAAGGTTGTGACCTGAGCAATACACGTTTCAATTATTCTTCCATGTCAGTCCTGCTAGCATTTGTCAGTGCCATGACCACTAGATATTGAGGGCTCAATTAAAACACTTAGTGCAAGCAATGAAGCATAAGCCCATTGAAATCTTTTCCCATCACTGCCATGTAATTTCTCCGTGGCTCAATAGCTTCATACAGAATTTTGCCAAATTCACTCCCCAGGTTATAGGAAAGGAGCCTGAAATGCCAACTGTCCAGCAGCAACGGTTTATAGAAAGTGATCCCAGCTAATTACATTTTTGGAAATGACAGAAAATGAAAATTATTTAACCTTTCCATTCAAGCAGTTAACTACAGCCTGCTAATGCATTCTCTAGGTAACATCACTGACAGCTCTCTTTCACATTACACAATTATACTTTGTCTATAGTACTTTAAATGCCATGGCTTCATCTGATGGAACTCTGGGATATATAGTTTGATGATGCATTGGTGATATAACCATGTAGCATGAAAGAGACTCAAGCCTCTTAAACACAATATGACGAAGTAAAAATTTTCAAGGTGACTTGAGAAACTTTTTTCTTTGTATTCTAAAGCAACTATGTTATTTATTGGTATTCCGAATCCTCCTAGCCTCCATCACTCAGCAAGACTCACATAGGATTTCACTCGAACAGGCATAACAGGCTTAAAATGTGAAGGAAGACTTCTAGAAAGAGAGCAGGACTCATACAAGATCTACACCCAGAGCAGTGTAAATGTTTCCATTACTGTGATTTCAGGCATGTTAGCAGATTGTTATTTACAGATTTTTAACAGTACAATCAGCTAAAGACAAAGCAGCTGGAATGTTTATGCCATCACTCTCAAAACTGTAAAACTACATGCCAGCAGAGCCGAGCACAAGTCTAAGAGGCTATTTTTAGGCCATCAACTCAGCTGAAGAAATGCTAACTGCATATGCTTTAGCTAATTAATGCATCAATTAATCTGGATATGGAGAAAGACTTATTTCTGAAAAGAGCAACACACTTTTCAAGTTTAGATGATTTTAGATAAACCATTGTAGAAGAGGATTCCTACTTATTAGGTAGAATAGAATACTGGAAATGCCTCGAAAGATGCTCTTTGTTATTTGCAGATTTTTATTAACTCTTTTAATCACATAAAGTCTGTTGCCTGGCTAAGCACCCCATCTATTTAGTTTATCAACCCTAACCATTTATGAACTAGGCATTGCCAAAAACCTATTGAAGGTTTCAAGTTAGCACTAGACCCGAGAATTCACATTTGGGGAAGCCAAGAAAGATAACGTTCTTGACAATCAAATCACCAAGTTTGTTCTTGGTCTTATCAGGGAGACACATGGCTCTGCCAAGCACAAACATGCTTAAGGCGCTTTGCAAATAAAGGTGCATCACCGTGTATTCTACATTCTGGCAGAAAATGTATCAAGTATTTGTTTTAAATACACACACTGGCTTTGTTTTAAGTATTTAAACCAACCACAAAATGCATACTCCTTGTTACAAGGTGCTGCCTCTTAGGGAACTATTGTTTGAAAACCGATGGGTTTTCTATGACCGGCAGCAACAACAAAGTCCAACAGCCTTGCCCAAAGGCAAACTCTAAATCAGTGGTTCCCAACCTTTTTTGACCAGGGACTATTTGACCAGGGACCACTCTCCAACATTTCTAAAATTTAAAAAAAGAACTTGAAGTAGAACTTAATGGAAGAGGTTTAATGAAAGTAAAAGACTGGGATTGGAAAATGGTAAATATGGAAAGAATCAAAGAGGAATTAGGAGACTTAGATTGGTATAAGTATCTACAATTGGGTAAATGGTCAAGTGATATAAGGAAAAAGTATAATGGAGGTAGGGAATACACAAAAATAGAAAAGATGATAACTCAAAGGGAGACTAAAGAAGAGAATATAACATTAAAAGGCACAGTAAGTGATATCTATAAACTGTTATTAATGAATGAACAGGAACAAGATTATTTGAAGGAAGTATGGGAAACAGACTTGGGGGGAAAATGAATAATCAAGAATGGGCAAACATATGGAATATGAGAATACTAAAAAATATGTCTATCAGAATTAAAGAAAATTACTACAAAATGATATGGAGGTGGTATCTAACCCCTATTAGATTAAATCAGATTGATAAAAAATATTCAAATCAGTGTTGGAGAGGTTGTCAGGAAATAGGGACGTATCTTCATATGTGGTGGTCATGTTACATTATACAAAAATTTTGGGAAAGCATATTCAAAGAAATAAGAGCAATAATAAAAATAGAGACTGAGATTACACCAAAATTAGCTTTATTACTTATACATGATAATATAATTCCCGTACAAGAGGAGAAAGAATTGGTTTCTAATTTGATAACAGCAGCTAAATTGTTGATAGCAAAAAATTGGAAGGAAAAAAAAGAAATTCAATTAGAAGAATGGTATAGGGAAATTTGGAATATAGCGATTAATGATAAGCTAACTTGCAATATTAAAATTAAAAAGGGAATATGTAAACAAACAGACTTTTGGAAAATATGGGGAAAATTTATCGAGTATGTGTTTAATGAGGGAAAGGGGTATAAGCCAGCAAGAGAAACAATAATATTTTGGAATGGTGAAACAACATGAGTTGGTTGGTCCTGGTGGAGGGGGCACAAACTAAGGGTAAGGGGAAGAGGGAGGGAAAAAAAGTATCAAAGAGAAACAACAGGAATGGACCATGGTCAGTATTCAAAGAGTGCTCATCATTATGCTCCCAAAACAGAATAAGATTGAAGGATGGGACATGTTTAGAATTTGCATCTTGTATATATGTTACAATTATATTGCATTTGGAGAGTGAAGAATGAGTGACTTGATTATAAGGTTGGTCAGATTCTAATTATTTTTTGTTTTGTAAATTGAGAGAAGTCTGAATTGATTTATAGTTAGTTGGAATTTGTAGTAGTTATAGAGTATAGGAATAATTTAGTGATAAAGGTATGTTTACTTAATGTGTTTATGTTAAATTGAATAAATGCAATAAAAATATTTTTTTAAAAATGAATCCGTTTTTGGTTGATTTTAGATTCGGTTTGGTTATTTGGGATAAACCAATTGCAGAAAATTACATTGGATAGACCAGATTAGCTGTAGTTTCTGATACAGAACATAGGCCATCCAGTAGTCGCCATCTGCTTGCCCACAGAAAACCATATTTAATAATCTAGAGCTGTCGTGGGTAGTCAGCTTCTCCCCTCCTGAAATCCTCAATGCCATGGCACTATAAGAGGGTTTCGTGAGACCAGTCGCTCTAGCCACAGTTTCAAGGCAACGGTGTAGTAATGATGAGGCCGCAGACCATATTTTCGTTCTTGTGGATCACTGGTGGTCAATGGACGACAGGTTGGGAACCACTGCTCTAAATCAAGTATGAATGGTAGGAACTGAGTCTCAGAAATTTAATACACTCACTGACAAAAGGAAGAGAGGGAAATTCCAGAGAACGGGAGCTATAAGGAAATGCTAGACCCTCTGTGAATGAGGGATTCCTGAGGAAGGCTACCTGCTTGTACTACAATGAAGCAAGACGGCAAGGCTGTCACTATTGGCTTAGCGAAGACATCAAATCCCCCAACTCCTCCTCTCTCAGAATGTTCTCCTATACTACCCATTATGTAACCTTTACATAACATCATGGAAGCCAAAATACCTGAATTCGCTTTGTTTTCTTTCTCTTGCAAAAAAGCCACTCTTATACAAAGAATTTATAACATAACTATAATTGAACACATCTTCAGTAGTAGAGGGAAAAGCCCAAACTCTCCCTGGAATTCAAGATAACTAAACTGAGAGTGTTATACTTTGGGTGTAACTTAGGGGACAAGACAGTAATGCTTGGGAAGA